CACAACGAAATACTTTTTTGGTATCAGCCTTTCTTCTTGTTATACACTCACTGCTATACAAATTACACCAAAGAAAAATAACATAATTTTTTTTCGGTTTTTTACAATTGACCGAATAGCAGAAAAAATGTTGGAGAGTTGTCGAAGCAAAAAGATTTGTGAGAATAAAATTTGCATACAACAAAAGTGAATTTTTGATGCTATTAACCAAATAAAAAATTATTCAGTATATTTGACAGAAAACTGACCGGTGTTATCGGTTTGCACCGCGACCAATCCACAAAATCCACTGTATTACCGACAACACTAAAAAAAAAAAAGTAAGGAAAAAAATACAGTAGAGCAATATTTATTGTTCCCTCAATTCTCTTCTATCACATTTTTTGCTTACTTAAAAATCTGTATATCTAAAATTAATTTTAGATTCAATTTTTAGTTGCTCTACAAAATTAATTTGAATAAAAATCAAAAACATGTTATTTGACCGTATTGAAATGATTGTTTAGTAAAAGCTCAGTTCTAAGCAACAGATTCAAACCTTATAGATAACAATTTGACTAACCTAAACAACAGGTAATGTAATCTTCTTTCTTATTTTCATTTTTCTTCTTTTCTTTCAAACACTTAGAGTAATCGTAAAAATCAAAACGAATAAAGGTGTCAAAATTAACTAACTCTGAAAACTCATTGATATAGCCTTTTCTATGAAACCAATGAACGAATTCTGCTCGATATTTGGCGTTAAAATCTTGAACATTTCTTGCCATTGCAATCAGAGGATATTTGGCCCAATTAGACAAAACTATAAACTCGTATTGACCATGAGCTTCATTTTTTGGTCCTAGCAATACAATTTGATCTACAAAAATCACAGTTTAAGCAGTTGTACAAAAAATTGCTAGCACTTAATATATCAAAGACAACCTAAAGAGAACAATAGAAACGACTTGACCAGTCTGTTTCTGATCAAATTTTTTTTTCTGCCGTTGCTAAACCGATTAACGTGATTTCAACTTGTTGTAGTTATGAAGTACTTTTTGAACTTCAGACAATTTATTCTATTTTATTCATTTTCCGCAACAACAGGAACTGTTCAGAAGTCATTTGGCAGTTTTTCAATTATCTGAGCGATAACAGTATAAACAATAAAGAGTTTGAAAAATTGGTTTTTTGGCTTCAGCTTTTTTCTTTTTTATTTATTTTGAGGAGGCGGGAAGGAGGAATAGACTTTGGTGTTTTTAGTGTATAAAAATAGTAAAACTTTAATTGATGTATTGTTACGGTTGTTCAAAATTTGCTGTTAAACATCAGATAGTCTTGCGTGATAGAGGGAAGGAAGGGTGGGAGTAGGAAGAAATAAGTGAAGAGGCGGATGGCCGAGAATTATTGTCGATAAAGTAACAGAATTTATTGGTAGAAGAAAAGCTTAAGGATTATAAAACAGTTACTCACATGGACATGGATCTTCCTGAAAATAGATGTAAACTTTTTGGTTGTGAATAACTCCATAACCGAAACCAACTTTTGCCGGTCCATTAAAATCTTCTTCATGAAAAGCATCAACAATATTAATTGCCGAAGTATTGCCATGTTTAACAACATATTGAACTGCAAAAAAAAGAAAAGAGAAGGTTATTGACAAATTATTGATAAAACACAGTGAATATAAATATGAAAATTTTGTATTAGACAAATCTCAGTAAATTTACATCAAAAATTAACGCTAAAGAGTAACTTTTTGTGCAGTTAATTTTTTTTAAAGACACTCTTTTTGCTCAAATATATTTTTTAATTAAAAAATTGCTTAAACGCTTCTGTTTTTACTGCTGTTTTTTTACTTGTCTTATTTACCACTTGTTTTTACAGTTGTTTTTAGAATTTCTTTAACAATTCAAAACTAGATTTTTGCTTAATTTCTAATATTAATTTTGTTGCAGACAACGCTGTTGATTTCAGTAAATTAGCATGCAGAACAGAGACAACAATTTGAAACTGAGAATCTTGTTTTTCTTTTTTTGGAGAACAGAAAGAGAGAAGATAAGTGAAAGTGTGAGTCGAATACCGGATAAATTGGGAGAAAGAATTATAGACGATGTTAGATCAAGAAAAAAAAAAAAAAGATAATCTGAATGTAAAAAGTGGCGAAGAAAAGTGAAAGAAGCTCTCGGTATTAGGTAACATTTGATGTAAAAAAACCGGATAATAAAAAACGTCAACAGTTGGCAACAATTTTTAAACAATTGGTATTGGTAATAAGTCGACGGAGGCTGAGAAAAAAAACTATTGATCTTAGAAATTATGTCGGTGTAAAAATATTATTGAAAGTATTTTTTTTTTTTTTTTGATGTTAAACAAGTCGATATGTTTAAATTTGGTGAAATTTTTGTTTTTTTTTAAGTTCCAAATTTTTTAACTGCTTTTTCTTCTCTTCACTTTTCAATGATAAACGAAAAACACTGTTTTTTGTGTGCAATTGTTGACAGGATAAAAGTGGTAAAAAAAAAAAAGAAAAATAAGAAATTTTTGAAAAATACCAACATTCTGTTGTCGGACAATATCGATGATGCACCCCTTTGGTAGAAACAACCTGAAAACAATCCATAAACTCGTAAATTTGTTATACTATTTACTGTTTTTGTAAATTGATTGCAACTGTTAGCTACACGACCAAAATGTTATTTTAGTAATTATTAAGGTTTAATTTTGCTACTTTTTTGTTCCCTTTTTTCTTTTTTTTCTCCTGTTTTCCTGACGCTACAAAAATAGCCCTTTTTTGGGGTGTTCAAAAGCAACCAATTTACATATCTAGCCTCTTTGTCCTTCGAAGTTTTTAAGACCGTATGCAGCAAAAAAGAAAAGTTTGCAGTTATACCAAAACAATTATTCGGTAAGGCTACTTTTCAGCTTCAAAATTATAAGACAGTAAGTATATTTTTTTCCTAAACTTTGATTCAGATTAAGCTAGAAATCGCAAACAAGATAAATGCTGACAATGGTAAAAGCAGTTGCAGTCGAACGCTTAGTCAGAAATTTGGTTGACGATGTCATTGTTCAAGTGTACTGAACAGTGATGAATGTATGCGGAATAACTAACCCATTGGTATTTACCAGAAAGTGACATAAAGTCAACTTCTGGAGTTTTGATAAGACTTGTCAGATAGTCTTGAGCGCCAGGAAATAGTCGAAGGAAATTTTGGAAGAAACTGGGCGAATTTTGGTTGACCATCGGTGTCTGTTTTGGCAGACAACCACCAGCACCTGGTAAACTTCCAACCAGTCCAGGAATCACCGGAAAGCCATCAAGAAATGTTATCTTTGGTAGCGGTTGTTTTAATCTGTGAAAAGTTTTTTGAATTATTTTGGTGCAAGTTTTGTTGCTTCAGAATTCTGTAAGCTGTTCTCTTATTTTTGATGCCACCATTAATTAATTAATTTTCAATTTCAAATGTATTTTGCTTTAAATTTCTATATATTTTTTTTCTTTTTTGTGTCATATCTCGGTGTACACTTTTAAAGTCTTATCAAAAATTTTACTCACTTAGTTGACAACATTTCGTTAGGCAGATGTATTTGAATATTTTTGCTGTTCTGATACTTACAACAAAATATGAATATAGATTTTTTTGCGGCAAAAAATTTTAAAATGTACCGTTTTATTAGGTCGTTGTCTGGATCCGCTTGAACCTCTTTCAAATAATTCATCAGTCTCAAACTTTGGCTAAACATGAGAAATAAACCATTACTAATGAAGATTTATCAGAGCTTTAAAAAGCAACATTATTGAGGTAGCAGATTAGATTGTTCAGGCAGTCACTCTGATCAAATATTCAAACTACAATTTTGATCCTTGCAACAATTTTGTGCTAAAAAAATTGAAAAAAAATATAAAAATAAATTGAATGTTATTAAAATAGAAAACAATTTAAACTTATCGCAACTATCTCTCAATTTAAGCAGATTTTGCAAGGATAGTAGTGTATGCGCCTCTTTTTTACCTCTACTTTTATTTTAAAAAATCGTTTTATTACTGACTTTTGAAGACTCGTTTCTTGTCTCTTTTTTTGATGACTTTAAAATAACAGTTTAAAGAAACTTTAAAGCAACTTTTTTAACCATCAATTTTTTTTTGTTTTACCATATATGATACTAAAGAAAAAGGAGAAGAAGAAAAAAAATAGTCAATTATTTCTACCAAAAGCAACAAGTAATATGTACAAAAAAAAATTTTTTTTATAGTTTAGAAAAAAGTCTTAAAAAGAAAGAAATAAAGTGAAGTAGCTACCTGGTTATATCGTCTAGTGGAATTCGATCAACAGTTCCGGCACGTCCGGTGTTTAAACCAAACATTTGTAACAGTGAATCCACCTGAGCTTTAGTAGCTACAACGATACAGACGAGAATCAATGTAACACGCATGGTGAACTTCTAAAATTAATTTCTATAATTATTAAACAGTAATAGTAAGTTTTTGGGTAGACAGATGTAACACAGCTTTGTTCAGCACTTCGTATTTTATTCACAGAAATAAGAAAGCAGATTAGGTTTGGTCTCCGGGCCATAAAATTTGTTTCGGAAAGCACAAATGGACAAGATCCTTGATCGTTGTGTATCAGTGTACATATGTTTATGTATTTCTATGTCTAAATCTGTGTGCATCTCCTTCTTCTTCTTGTTTTTTTGTTGCTGTTTTCGTTCTTGTTAGGATTTGGTTGACTGTTGTTGTTGTTGTTGCGTGATGATAATAGTTGATGCTCCTGTTGTTGGAAACATAAATTCTTCTTTTCTTCTTAATTCCTTAACATCCGTACTATTGTCGTTGTCTTTTTGATGCTCCGCCTAACGACCTGTACAGATATGTCAAAAAAATTACCGTGATGTACTTCCCCTTACCAATGATGGTATATCCGAAAAATGATCACATGACTGAAAGGGTGGAACAGTTAGATCAAGTTTCGTTTATTCTGTTTTTTTTTTCTTTTTTCAAATTTTATTTCTTTCATTTTTTTTTCTTATTTTATTTTTGCATTTATCTCATTAACGTTATTATTCACCATTGACGCCTTTATAGGCGACAAATTTAATAACAAAGCAATAATAAAGATTTGGTTTTTTTTTTTTTAAAGACAAATCTTAGGTGAATCTTATGATTATTTATCTGTAATCAAATGCATGTGGCTAGACAAAAAACAAAAGATGAAATAAAATGTAGCAAAAAGAAAAAAAATTGAGACACTTCTAATCTAAAATTCTAATTTTTAAGTTTAACCTCTGCTTTCAATCATCAGCTTTGAGATGTCAAATTTTGTTAATCACTGTATTTATATGTTGCCATCATTGCAATAAAAAAGTAAGTTTTTTCTTGTGTTTTTAGTAAAACAGTTATTTGAAAGCATTAGGTATAAAATTCTAGATTTGTTTAATTTACGTAGCTTAAGCAAAAAAATCAGTATTCAAACCAGTGTATTTAAATCAAACTAATTTTCCGGAAAAAAAGCTACGTAGCTTACGTATATACGAGACCAAATACAGCTGTAAAACATTTTTTAATTGAAATAAGTTGAACAAATAAAAAAAGAAGAAAACCAAAAGAAAAAAATACTTTATAATTTTTTGTAATTTCTTTTTGGTTCTCAAACTTCAGAATAAATTGCAAAATTTTTTTGCACCAAAAAATAAAGCAAATGTTGTGCTGATATATTTTGATATTTCAGTGTCATTTCAGCAAATAGCTGCAGTTCTCCAAGAAAGATTTCAGATACTTTTATCCTAAACTAAAAGCACAATAGAACAAATAGAAGCACACAGCCAATAAATAATCACATTTTATTATACTTAGAGATTATCAATCTTTTAACAAAAAATTTTGAAAATTGAAGCTTCTAGTTAAGAAAATTTATAGTTGAAACTGAAGTATTACATAAAAACGCTGAACTTTAATACACAGAAGATTATGAAACTAAAATACTTAACAAACTTCAGCATTATATTTCCTATGCTTCTATTTCGATAACCATAAAATTTAGATTTCAAACTAGATGGTTTAAATACAGCAGTGATATGTGGTAATTTCCTGAAACATTACGCGGCAAAGCTGGAGTACCTCTAAGCATATGTTAACCTGTAAAATGCTACAGTTTGATACGTTAGTCTTTGATTTTAAATTTTTCTTTTTATCATTCTTATTGGCTCTAGAAACACATTATGAATTGTTGTAAGCCTTTAAAAAAGTTGGTGAAAAGGTTTATTTGAGTAAAGCTTGATTTGTAACATTTGGTTCTTAAAAGCCAACGTTTTAAGATGTAAGACATCGGTATAGTCTAACCTTTCACCTTACTTTTTTAAAGAACTATTTGAAGAATTGCCAATTCAACTTTTTCTGGTAAAAAACAGTTGCACCATACCGGAACAAAACTGCTATAAAAGTTAGAAACGATTAGCATAGAAAAGTGTTCTCATTAAGTGCAACTTTTCTAGTAACAAGTAATTCAATTTTTCTAGCATTTAAGCGTTCCTCCAAATCATAGCCGGTTTCAGCTTTGCTTTTGAATGTTTCAACGATATCAATCAGGAGACATCGTTTTTAAAAGATGTATAGAACAGCATCTTTATCTTGCCTAGTTTCAATCAAAGCTTCCATCTTCTATTCTAATTCAATTTTATTACTTTATGCATCCGTTTCTGTTCGGTTATCTACTGTCAAGTTTGGTAAATACAGAAATGTTTATTGAATTTGATGGTACCGGTAAATAAAATAGCCAACTAATTTTACTGAGCATATAATTATCAAGATGTTAATCATAATTTTGGTAATTATAATACTGTGTGTTCTTATTTCTATCAGCAAACATTACTTACCTTTCAATTAACGAAACAATTTTAATATATTTACATTTTTTGCTTTATCGACAAAAAAAACAGTTTGTAAAACTTTTTTATCTGTAAATACCTTGTCAGTTTTTAAAGACAATACCACTGATAAAATTTAGCAACTTCTAAGTCAGCGAGTGGTACTGCAATAAAAGTATAGCCTAAAAAATGATCAAAAAATTGTTAATTTTTTTTTGATACTTACATTATTAATTGAAGCTAACTTAATTGTTTAAGTTTCAGCTCATTAGCGTTTTGTATTAAAGTGCGTATACGTTTTATAAATTGAGTTCATTCTACAAACTTGATCAACCTACAAAAAGAAAAGCTGTCTTCAACTAAAGTTTAGGTTGAAAATTTCAGGCGCATTTTAGTGTTACTGAGTAACTTCAGTCTCTCACTATTCTAAGTCTTTCTATTTTAATTATAAAATAATATTTCTTTCATTTTATTTGGTTCTTTCAATTCTTCGGTAAATCGAGACAAAAAAGGCTTTAGTATCTTTGGTAGTGCGCTGTTTTTTTCTCATATTTCGAGCACTTATTTATTTATTCATTTATCGCACCACATTGCTTTTTTTTTTCTCTGTATTTGCATAAAGCAGTAAAAAAAGGCTACTCTGTATATTTTTGCATTGTATCATAGAATTGTATCTCTGTAATAAATCTGATTTATTTCGTTACTGCTATTAGACTTACAAAAAAAAAAAGTAAAGAGCAGCAACTTTATGTTGAAACTTCATTGTACATTTAGCAAGAATTATGAGTCAGGTAGGATAACAAAATAGGAAAAAAAGTGGTAAATAAACGCAGATACTAAACAGAAAAGCAGTATAACAAATATGATAAAAAAATTATTTGAAAAAAAAAATCAGTTATTTGTGCAAATTTTGATGGTACCAACAAAGACTCATTTGCTTGAAGTTATAAACCTTTTATTTCCTGCTTAAAATTTTGGTATTTTTCTTTGATTACACTGTTTTGCCAGTGTTCAACGGCTTTCTTCTTTCCAAGTGTAGTACTCAAAATAGTTTCTTATACTAGTATGCCTGGCATACTAAAAATTTAACCTAGTTGAAGTATCGAACTTTAAAACGACACAAATTTACAGATTGAAAAGGCTAAAAATTCCTCTAAATAACGACAGCTGTGCAAGGACAGACAGTTTTTCTTTTGCGATGATAGCCACAATAGCTGTTCACCTTGAAACGCCTAATTGGTTCACCTTGAAACACCTAATTGGTCTATTCATCATCATCAACTATTTTTTTCAACTCTACTGAGTGCTGTTAAAACTTCAAGGCAACATTGAAAGCAAAGAAGTTCTTTTTAAAAGAGCATAATAAGGGTTTATTGCTTTGTTAGAAAAAATTAAAATATAAAATTATCCTATAAAACTGACATCAAACTAATTTATGACTATAAATTTTGCTTCAGTAGTAAACGGAAACATGTCATCTTTTAGTTCAAAAACTGGTGTTTCGCACCAAAAACTAACTGAACATCTATCTTTAAGAGATATAATGCAAAAAAGAAAGAAAAAAACAATGAATATCTTTAGTGGTCAAAAAGTCGAAGCGACCAAGGTACATATCTTTGCAGAAACACCTTTTAGTGCAGTCAAAGCTATGCTTTTAGCACGACTACCTTTTATAATAAGAAATAAATATGGTGTGATAACTGAAAGTTTAGACACAGAGCGAGTGGCAGCCAGATTTCCGTCGACAATGCCAGAATTTAATCATTAGAAAGGTCGGTAAGGTATTTTGTGAAGTAACTTTGGCAAACTGTATCTGGTGAAGAACTGAAGAAAAAAACTTGTGCTTAAATCCTAAATTTTGAATGAAAATTTAAAAAAATTAACGCAGAAATGGCAGTTAAATGCATATTACTGTTACTGAGCGATTAAACTGAAGTGCATCTTCTATATATCATTAAAAAATTTTGGGATCCGGAATATAAAATCTTCACCTCTCGCACTCTGTGTTTTCTCTATTTTCAAAAAACTCACAAACATTGGACAACTGCTAATGTTTATTGGTCCATCAAATACATTTGATTTTTTGTAAGTAATGAAAAGCTGAAGCCTGCAAAAGTATAACGAAGGTAAAAACAACATAAGTTTCTAGAAAAAACAATTCAACAGTAAACAACACTAGTCAATGATGCTAAAAAACTACAATACTTTTTTTGCTAAAAAACAACGCCCAAACCAAATAAAACGTTCAAAATACTGCAGAAAATATTATCTACTTCAACAATTACTGGTCCCAATAATATTATAAGTATCAAAGTGGAGAAAAACAATTCTTCAATTCACTTTCCTAATGTCGCTCATCTTTAAATGGATCTTCCGGATGACCTTCCAGGCTGAAAACAACAATTAAATATCTAACTATTGATATCTTTCCTTGTGCAAAAGATTTCCAGCAATCAAATATTTTTAAGTACAGAAAATAGAAGCAACTGTTAATTAAGCAATTATTTACATACAAATCAAGAAAATCTGAAGAAATAAATCAAAAAACTGCAATAGAAAAAGTTGCAGAAAAGAAGATTAAAGGAAGTTTCCGATTACATATTATAACAGAATTTAATAATTTTTACCAGAAGCTGTAAATCCCAACTGACACAGAGCTTATAGTCTCTGAGTTAATTTATTCTGTCGTCTATGCGGTATCTACTTTCTTGAATCCTTCCTCCAAATTAAATATTTAAAGTAAAACGAAACTTGTTAAAAATCAGAAAACTTACAAATCTTGGAAGAATATACGTTGATGATGCTCCTGAGTGTTCAGCTCCTTCATCTCATCATCCGACAATTTGAAGTCAAAAATCTGACATGTTGCAATATTGGGCCAAGTAAAGAAGTATAGTTCTTATCGAATAAAAAATCTTTAAGCCAGACAGCATTTAAGAAACGGAAAATAATAAAACTTACGTCAAAATTTTCTTTGATTCTCTTTTCGTTTACACTCTTCGGAATAATAGCTATGTCCCTCTGCAGCAAATAACGAAGCAAAATTTGTGCAGGTGTTTTTTGGTGTTCCGATGCCATTTTTGTAACCAGCGGATCCTCCATAGGGTTTTTAGCCGGTTTCCATGGTATTGCTCTAAACCAAAGATATACCACTAAACCGAGTGATATCTGATAATCTGCAAGCTACTACCAACTCAGTTATATTTTGGTTATATTCGTTATGCTATATCTTAAAATTCATACTCTCCAGTCGGTAAACGGAATTTGTCGCGACCAGGCGAACCAATTGGAGCATATGCGGTGAATGAAATATTATGACGTTTACAGGTTTCATGTAACTCAAACTGAGGGAAATACAGGTGACATTCGACCTAAATAAACTGATCATCATAATAACAAAGTATTTAGTAGTTTTAATACTGATTTCTTATACTTAACTCTAATAACCATTAAATTGAGATTAGAATTAGAGAGTTTGACTGCCCCGTTGAAATATGGTTAGTTACCTGAAGATTATGAACAGGAACTGTGGCTGCTTTTACGACACGTTCAACCTGTTGAGCGCTGAAGTTTGATACACCGATTGCTTTTGTTAGGCCTTTTTTGTACAACTCTTCCATACCCTACACATGTTTTTGTTGTTGAATAATGGAATTTTCCTTTTGAGTATTACTGAATCCGTTCCGAAGTATTGTAAAAGCAGAAATAACTATTGCAAAAACTGTGGACGGACCAATATTATTAAATGATCATTAAATAAAATACAACAAACTTTCCAAATTTGTTCCACAGTTATTGAATGATCCTGTTTGCTCATATCGGACTAAAAAGAAAAGTTGTTTTTGAATCACTTATTTCAGACAATACAACTTTAGAATTACATTCCAAAAATGGTAAAAGAAAAGATTTACTTGCAAAAAAAAAACAAAAAACCAGTAGATTAGTCCACGTAAACTTACGTTGAAGGCCCCGGGCATATGTGCAAGATAAAGATCAACATAATCCAACTGCAATTTTTTAAGAGATTCTCGAAGTGCTGGTTCCATTTCATTTGGCGCAAAATGAGTGCACCACAACTAAACAAAATCAAAGATGTAGAAAATTGCTGAAATTCTACATCCAAATTTGAGTGTTATTACGAATGAAACAGTCATGAAAATAATACTGTGAAGGAACAGAAATTATTGGTGTACATAACTTACCTTGGTGGTAACAAAAATTTCTTCACGCTTCACTTTTCCGTCTTTTAAATACTCTGCTAAAGCTTCGCCAATTTCAGCTTCATTTTTATACAATTCAGCTGTATCAATAAGACGATAACCATTGTCAAGTGCGTGTCGTACTGCATTCTTTACTACGTCTGGCTCTGACTAAACTTCCCATCTTTTATTTCAATAGTTTCACCGTTCCATTCATCAAATTTTCTTTTGCTGTTCACTGTCATCAATTAACAATTATTGCAACGCTGACTGTACCTCATGTTACTGTCAAGAAAAGGAAGAAACTTTTACTGAGCCTCTAAATAAGATTGCTATTTCACTTAGCTACAATTACAAGATCTCTTTTCCACCATCTAGGGTTACTTAGCACTCAAAAAACGCCACAACAGAATATCCGCAGCAATTAAAAACCTGAACAATTCTTTAAGCGATTACGTGCTATAATTACTAAGCAGCGCTATCAACTGTTTAATTCGAACAACATATAAAGCTTTGGCAACAAAAAGTGGCTTACACGTCAACCGTTTACACATCATACGATACTAATACCAACTTTGAAGACTGGTCATAAAGTTATCAAATACAGTTTTTTGGCATCTACAAGTATTGTTAGTATAATTAGTGTCAATCACTTATGCTTTGAGTCAGATTTGCCTTTTATTTGCGTGCTTTTACATTTTATAAATTGGTTCAGTAGATAGACTTGATCAGAGTACAAAACCAAAAATAGTACCAGCCAAGTTCCAAGTCCAACAAGTGGCATTTCAGCGCCATTAGATAACTTTACCACTGGTCCTCGGACTACCATGGTTTCTGACCTTAAATAATGTGTTTTTCAATTTCAGCAATATCCTTCAAAATACATTACGGTCAAAAACAATTTGTTATACCGCAGGTGCCTCGATGTTCTTTTCATGTCTAATAGATTCATCTGTTCACTCATTTTTTCACTCTATTCTTTTAGTTATTTTGTAATAGCTAGAAAATTAAAAGAAAAAGTATTTTACAAAAACAAATAAGAAAAATTGCAAAGCAACAAAAACTGCAAAAAAAAAAAAAAAAAATGTAAGAGAAAAATGTATTGAACTTCATTGCTTTACATCAATTGTAAAATAATTATAGATAAAAGACGATAAATTTTTTACTGCTGAACAATAATGTTGAAAAAGAAATAAAAGTAGAAAAGAAATAATTTCACAAATCCATAAAAAGTTTTTCAATTAGCAGCCAATAATAGAAAAACACTTAAAATTGTCACAATAATCAAAGAAAAAAAATAAATTGTCTATTGCTTTTTTTTTTTTTTTTTTTTTTT